CTTGCTATGGACGGGGAAGGTTGGCGATGCGTCTGCGTTCCGTGTCTGGGGATCTCGAGCGTTTGTCCGCGACTTGTCTGCGGACAAGCTGTCCCCTCGTGCTGCTCCCTGTGTCTTCCTTGGCTTCCCCTCTGACGCCCCAGGGTGGCAGTTTTACCACCCCTCCTCTCGTTGTGTTCTGTCCTCCCAAGACGTCACGTTCGACGAGTCAGTCCCCTTCTACCGTCTCTTCCCCTACCGCACTCCTTCCCTCCCCCCTCCCCCGGACTTCCTTGTGCCGGTTCCCCCCCCGGTAGACCCCCTCCCCCCTCAGGTTCCTGCCCCCTCAGGTGTGTCCCAGGTAGACGCCGTTGACCCGGTCGAGGTTACTGGTGACTCTGGTGCTGCTGCGGGTGCTGAGCCTGGGGGTGCTGACTCTGGGGGTGCTGTGCGCGGGGGTGCTGAGCCTGGGGGTGCTACTGCTGGGGGTGCTGGGCCTGGGGGTGCTACTGCGGAGGGTGCGGAGCCTGGGGGTGCTGAGCCGGGGGGTGCTGTGCCTGGAGGTGCTGGGTCTGGGGGTGCTAGGTCGGGAGCTGCTGAGCCTGGGGGTGCTGAGCTGGGAGCTGCTGAGCCTGGGGGTGCTGCGTCTGGAGCTGCTGAGCCTGGGGTTTCTTTTGCTGCTGCGTCTCGCCGGGAGCCCCTCTCTCCACAGGAGCTGCGCGAGTGGTTCGCTCGCCGCTGGAGGCGGGCTGCTGAGTCTGGAGGTGCTGCTGGAGCTGGAGCTGGAGCTTCTTCGACCGTCGAGGATGCGGGTGCTGCCGGTCCCGGAGCTGCTGGACCTGCGGATCCTCCTGGAGCTGGAGCTGCTGCGGGCGTTGGTGCTGAGCCTACTGCTGTTGGTCCTGCCGCTGGAGGTGTGGGTGGCGCTGGTGCTGTCGCTGAGGGTGCTGGTGCTGTCCCTGCTGAGTCTGGAGCTGCCGCGCGGCCTCGGCCGTACTTCGTTCCGCTCCTGCAGCAGGTTCTTGGTCTTTCTCCTCTAGTAGAGGGTTCACCGCCTGTCCAGTCGCAGTCCCTGCTGGAGCCTTCCTCTCCACTGCCTGCTCCCTCGCCTTACACTGGTCCTACTGGAGGTCTTGCTGAGCGTCGTGAGCCTGCGTCTCGTCCCGCGTCGCCTGTTCGTGCTGCTCGCGCTAGTGGTCGCAGTTCGCGTCAGCGTCCTTCTCCTGTCCCTGGCACGCACCGGATGTCTTTGCGTCCGTCCACTGCTCCTCTGCGTGCCCCTTTGCCTTCTCCTCCTGAGTCCTCTCTTCCTGCGCTTGCCGACCCTGAGTCGGACTCTCTTCGTGCTGCCAGTCCTACTGTCACGTGTCTCCTTGCTACTGTCGTCACTGACCCCTCTTTTGAGTCCACTGCTGCGTCTGCTCTAGTCGCTGAGCTCGTCGACTTTGCTGCTCGCTGTCGTCTCGACTACGCTGCTAGTCTTGTTGCTGAGTCTGCGTGTGTCTGTCCTCCGTCCGTCGGGGGTGAGTGTGCTCTTGGCACGGACGTCCTAGAGGACAGGCAGGAGGAGTTACAGTCTCTAGCGGCTGCTTCACCTCATCTCGCGTCTGTACTGCTTGCCCCTGAGGGAGACCCGGATGCACTAGACATCCCGACTCCGCGTTCTTACGCGGAGGCCGTAGAGGGTCCCTACTCCTCTCAGTGGCAGGCAGCTATGGATGCAGAGATGGCTTCCTGGAAGTCCACAGGCACCTACGTTGACGCGGTTCCCCCTCCTGGGGCGAACATTGTCAGTGGCATGTGGATCTTCAGGGTGAAGCGGCCGCCGGGCTCTCCACCTGTCTTCAAGGCACGGTACGTTGCTCGTGGCTTCAGTCAGAGGTAGGGAGTTGACTACTTTCAGACCTTCTCTCCCACCCCGAAGATGACTACTCTTCGGGTGCTGCTGCACATAGCCGCTCAGCGTGACTACGAGCTTCACTCTCTCGACTTCAGCACTGCGTTCTTGCAGGGTAGCCTGCACGAGGAGATCTGGCTTCGCCGTCCACCTGGCTTCACTGGGACTTTCCCTCCTGGCACCCAGTGGAGCCTCCGACGGCCAGTCTACGGTCTCCGCCAGGCACCGCGTGAGTGGCACGACACACGCAGGACTACTCTTGCGGCTCTTGGGTTTGCTCCTTCTACTGCTGACCCGTCGCTGTTTCTTCGCACCGACACTTCCCTGCCGCCGTTCTACATCCTCGTGTACGTCGACGACTTGGTCTTTGCCACAGCGGACACTACTGGACTCGCCTACGTGAAGTCCGAGCTGCTGAAGAGACACACGTGCACAGACCTGGGTGAACTGCGCAGCTACCTTGGCTTGCAGATCACTCGGGACAGAGCACGCCGCACCATTACCTTGACTCAGTCACACATGGTGCAGCAGGTCCTTCAGCGCTTCGGCTTCACGTACTCCTCGCCTCAGGCCACTCCTCTGCCTACTCGCCACTCACTCTCAGCTCTGCCTTCGGATGAGTCCGTAGAGTCGAGTGGTCCGTATGCAGAGCTTGTTGGCTGCCTCATGTACCTGATGACCTGCACACGACCTGACCTTGCATACCCTCTGAGTATTCTTGCACGCTATGTTGCTCCTGGGAGACACAGACCGGAGCACATGGCTGCAGCGAAGAGGGTATTGCGCTACCTGTGCAGTACGTCGGGCATGGGGCTAGTGCTTGGAGGGCGGAGTCCAGTGGTCCTTACCGGCCACGCGGACGCTTCTTGGGCTGACGACCAGGCTACGCAGCGGTCGTCACAGGGTTACACCTTCAGCCTTGGTTCCGGCTCTGTCTCGTGGCGGTCTACTCGCTCGTCTTCGGTTCTCGGCTCCAGTTGTGAGGCTGAGATCTACGCCGGGGCCATGGCTGCACAGGAGCTTCGCTGGCTCACCTACCTGCTGACTGACCTTGGAGAGCCGCCTCGTTCTCCTCCAGTGCTATACGTAGACAACAAGGCCATGCTGGCCTTGTGTCGAGAGCAGCGCTTGGAGCACAGAACGAAGCACATTGCTCTCCGCTACTTCCTTGCTCGTGAGCTGCAGCAGCGTGGTCAGTTGCAACTTGCGTACGTGGCCTCTGAGGCCAACACTGCTGATGTGTTCACCAAGGCACTCGCGCCTTGTGACCATCAGCGCTTTTGCACCCAGCTGGGTCTTGTGCCTGTCTTGCCTCACTTGCTCTCCTCTTGACTTCACTTGTACTGTGACATATATATATACCTGCTCTTGCTTGTCTAGTTTTATATATATGTCTGTACTCCTGCATGTGAACTGGCCTCTGGCCCTGCTCTTGTGCTCGGAATGTGTGGTGACTTTGTGATCCACCCTGAGCTTGCTTTGCTTTGCTTGACTGGTCTTGTGACCCCTTGTTCTCCCCCACTTTGCCTATGGGGGTGTGTCAGATTATTATAGCTGATGCATGTTTGTAGGCTATAGTGGGGTAGCACATATGGGGTACAGCTTTCTAGGGTTGTATTTGTACCCAACTCTGACTTAGTCATTCTCATTCCTGTTCACTTGTTTCACAGCTCGTAGAAGGACATGAAGTAGAAAAATTTCTCCATCATGTTTGAATCGAAGCCTGCTGGTGTTTCCGTGGACCCAGCTGCTGGTCTTGCGGTAGTGCCTTCCTCTGTCTGTAGGCCAGAGGCAGGAGGTGGAGTAGGAGTAGTGCCTGGGGAGCCGTTGGAGGAGCTCCTCTCCTTCCTTGCAGACATGTCTTTTTTTTTTTTTTTTTTTTTTTGTATTTAAGTATTGAGAGAGAAAATGATCTTAAACTCTAACTGCTCTCATACCATGTTGGGCTGAGAAGCCCTAGGATCTTTGTAGAGTTTAAGGACTGAGTAGGATTGTAATAGCGGAAGCGTTGTAATACAGAGTGGTTGAACCACCTTGCACTAGTATGTGAGAGCAAAGTAAGTTAGATTAAACAAGCAAATACAAGGTTTATATAAGAGTACAAGGGATACGAATAGATAGATTTAAACCGTTTTACTGTTGCGATTCGATACAGTGCGACTCGGGCAACTGCTCAATGTCGAGTCAGTTGTGTGTCCTTGCTGTCGCGCTGTAATTGTCGAGTCAAAGGTCGCTGACCTTTGACTTTCCCGTAACCTCTAGGCGGTTACCCTAACCTCCGAGGGTTGACTCGCGATGCTTCGATTTGGGCTGCTTCGCTAGTGTCCTGAGTTTCGACACGACAGAGGCGCCTTAAGACTTATTTGTTCCCAACAACTTCAACCTCCGAGGGTTGACTCGCTGGTGCCTCGATATGCTCTGCTTCGCTTGTGCCTTGGTGTTTCGACACGACAGAGGCGCTTAAGATTGTTTGTTCCCAACACAATTGACAGCATGAACTGTCTCAGTTGCTTGTAAATTCCCTTTTGAATGGTAAATTCCTTTCTCTAAAGTCCAGTGACCAGTGTCCAGTGTTCACAACGTAGTCGTGAAGGTTCTTTGTGCGCTCTTTGTGGGCTTGTGCTTGCATTCTGTTGTACGGTAACCGTCACGGATTCGTTTTGGAAATGGACAAGTGTAAGATGTTTTCTTGACAGACCACCTTAGAAAAGTGCTCAAAAGTACAGCTCTCAGAAGTATTGAAGCTGCGTACCAGTACGTGTAATCACTGAAGAACAAGCATAGCGCTCTCGCATATCCATTGGAGCCCTGTTTCACATGCACGCCTGAAATCATGCGAGAAGGAGCAGTAGCAATGGCAACAGCACGGGCATCACAAGGGCTTGCATGCGTCTTTGCAGGCAAGTTGATGCGTTGGCCCCCCTGGGTGCCTCTGATGACTCCACCTGCTCACATGCGCCCACACCAGCACACCAGTTGCGCGGAGGATCAGGGCAAGGCATCCATGTCACAAAGGCAATGTGGAACGAGGAGCAGTGCGGATCACACAAGAGGTGCACAATTGTTATGCGAAGAGCAGAGCAGGGCGGCACTTGCCTGGCGAGCAGAGCAGAGCGGCACTTGCCTGGGTGAAGTTGGTGAAGCCGAAGGTGAAGGTGGACATGCCGCGGTACCCCGTGACCTGCGAGTACGCGGCACCGGGGTACAGCCCCGACACGCCGTACTTGGCAGGGCGGTCAAACACGCTCGTGGTGACGGGTGTGTTGAGCGTCTCGGGGTTCGCTGTGAAGTAGCCGGCGTAGAGGTCGATGTACGTGGTGCTCACCGCCTGCCCTATTCCCATCACCTGGTGGGGGGGAGCGCGCGTTGGTGGTGCAATGGACATGGGCATGGGAACGTGTTGGTGGTGCAATGGACATGGGCATGGGAACGTGTTGGTGGTGCAATGGACTTGGGCATGGGAACGTGTTGGTGGTGCAATGGACATGGGCATGGGAACGTGTTGGTGGTGCAATGGACATGGGCATGGGAACGTGTTGGTGGTGCAATGGACATGGGCATGGGAACGTGTTGGTGGTGCAATGGACATGGGCATGGGAACGTGTTGGTGGTGCAATGGACATGGGCATGGCATGGGAACGTGTTGGTGGTGCAATGGACATGGGCATGGGAACGTGTTGGTGGTGCAATGGACATGGGCATGGGAACGTGTTGGTGGTGCAATGGACATGGGCATGGGAACGTGTTGGTGGTGCAATGGACATGGGCATGGCATGGGAACGTGTTGGTGGTGCAATGGACATGGGCATGGGAACGTGTTGGTGGTGCAATGGACATGGGCATGGGAACGTGTTGGTGGTGCAATGGACGTGGGCATGGGAACGTGTTGTTGGTGCAATGGACATTGGCATGGGAACGTGTTGGTGGTGCAATGGACATGGGCATGGGAACGTGTTGGTGGTGCAATGGACATGGGCATGGGAACGTGTTGGTGGTGCAATGGACATGGGCATGGGAACGTGTTGGTGGTGCAAGGGTTGGAGGGTGTTGGTGTGAGGTGGAGGGAGGGGGTTTGAACAAGGGAGAGGGGAATTGGATGATGAGCGCTGGGAGCATGTACGTTATGCTGACAGGGATGAGAACGGGTAGAGCGAGGAGGCTGCCACAACGAAGGGCGGGCAGAGAGAGGCGGGCAGAGAGAGGAGGCGGGCACAGAGAGGGGGCAGGCAGAGAGAGACGGAGGGCAGAGAGGAGGCGGTGTGGCGCGCAACGCAAGGCAACGCACCTGGGAGTCGCTGGTGGCGTAGTAGTTGGTGGGGCCCAGCGTGGCCTTGCCGTCATACCCAAACAGCGCTGGCGGCTGCACACTGCTCGTCCAGATCATGCCCACCCGCGGCGCTGCCCTGCACTCACACAGAGAGGGGGCCGCGGGTGGGGGAAGAGGGCGCGGGTGGGGGAAGGGGTCGCGGGTGGGGGAAGAGGGCGCGGGTGGGGGAGGTTGGGAGGAATGAGCGGCACGGATGATTGGAGAGGAGCAGTAGGGGATTGGCGTGTGAGAGCGGGGGCACGCGGGGTGGGGGATTGGGGGAGCGAGGCTGGGAACGGGGCGTTGGAGGCAGCGAGAGGGCGGAATGGGAGACGTGGGATGATTTCAGAGCGGGATAAGGATGGCATACAGCGGAGTGATGACATGCAGCGGAGTGATGACATGCAGCGGAGTGATGACATGCAGCGGAGTGATGACATGCAGCGGAGTGATGACATGCAGCGGAGTGATGGCATACAGCGGAGTGATGGCATACAGCGGAGTGATGGCATACAGCGGAGTGATGGCATACAGCGGAGTGATGGCATACAGCGGAGTGATGGCATACAGCGGAGTGATGGCATACAGTGCAGGCATGACAACTCACAGCGGGGTGAGGACGGATTTCGCGAGCAGCTTGGATCCAAAGGGCGAGAGCAGCGGGCGGCTCTTGTACATGGTGCCCGATGACGTGGCAAAGCTGCCGCCCAGCAGGTCCTTGCTGGGCGGCTGAAAGATGGGCGTGCCCTTGGTGACGCTGCAGAAGCCGTTGTCGTTGAAGGCACAGCCGGCGCCCGTGGTGTTGACGAGTGAGGGGTCGACGTGGAAAAAGGTGATGAAGAGGAAGCACGACAGGCATGTTTCGTTCACTGCGTGCGTGCCGTTCACCGGCGTTGGGTCCTCCTGCCCTGCTCCCCGCACAGCCAGCCATAGCGCCGAGGTGAGGTGCGAGAAAGGAGGAGGGAAGGCGAGGGAAGTGGGAGGTGGGAGAGAAATTGAGAGAACAGAAATGCAAGGTTGAGTTTCAGGCTGCGAGGCGTGGCAGACTCGAGTGTGCGGGGCGAGGGGATGCGAGTGGCGGGAGATGCGAGTGGCGTGAGATGCGAGTGGCGTGAGATGCGAGTGGCGTGAGATGCGAGTGGCGTGAGATGCGAGTGGCGTGAGATGCGAGTGATTTGCAACAGGAGCAGAAGGGAAAGGAAATTGGGCAACAGGGAAGGAAGGAGGCGCGAGCAGTGGTTACCAGCGAGGAAGGGCAGAGCGCCGAAGGGGTTGTATATGAGACCCACGTGGTTGAACACCGTCTTGGGCGAACCTGCCACGCCGCACACCCCACCCCACACAGGCGTGCTCCGCGTGTAAATCCTACGGCAGCGATAACATCGACATGTTCTGGTGTGGCTGCATGCGACACGTGCGATACAGCGCGCGACAGGCAGCTTGGACACGTTCTATGGACGGTCATGCGTTCCATGTGGCACTGCGTGCTGTATGAGCGAGCATGCGGGGCATACGCACCAGGCGGGAGCGGGAAGGACTCGTAGGCGGGGTTGGTGTAGGCGAAGAGGTCCTTGAAGTTGGGCGGGGGGCTCGCCTGGCAGGCAGCGGGGTGAATCAAGGGCGGGCAGAGGGGATGCCAGTCGAAGTTCAACGCCACACAACCGCAATGACGCAGCTGGGCGAGAGGCGTGCCCGTGAGGGATGGGAATGTGACGACTTTCGAGTCGAGTCAAAAGGGAAGGATGCGCGTGTGCTCACCTGAAACAGAATGGACTTTTCGTCCACCACTATGCTGACGTCAGCCTGGAATATCTCGCTGCGGTAGGTGGCGCGGGCAGCGTTGCTGGCGGGCGTTATGGCGACGCTGCCACGCGCGCATGGGGGAAAGGAACGGGAGACGCGTAAGGGGAGAGCTTTGAGAGTCAAATAAGTAGAGAGGGAGAGAATACGACAAAGGGGTGGGATAAAGAAGAAGGTGGTTGTGGTAGGACAAGCGGACAGAGAAGTGGGGAAATGAGAGAGGAGGAATATAGGGAAGGAGGAAACAAGGGAGAAAGGGAGAGGGAAGGTGGCGAAGGCCCAGACAGGGACAGTGGAAACAGAGGAAAGCGAGGGTACGCAGGGGGATGACGGAGCGTATGAGTGGGGATAAGTGCAGGGGGAAACTGAGAGCAGAATGGAAACTGAGTGAAGGCTGGGGGAAAAGTGAGGGTAAGCAGGGGCGGGAATGGGGGGAAGCAGAGGGGAGAATGAGGGGGAGCAGGGGGGGGAAGTGAGGGGAAGCAGGGGGGAATCTGAGTGGAGGTTGCGGAAATTCTGAGCGCAAACAGGGGGGGAAGTGTGGGAAAGCAGGGGGGGGAATTGAGGGGAGGCAGAAGGAAAAAGTAGGGGAAGCAGAGGTGGGGAAACTGAGCGGAGGCTGGGGGAGACTGAGGTTAAGCCGGGGGTAAAAGTGGGGGCAAAGATTCGCCGTGCGAAGGGAAAGGGCGGAGAGTGTGAGAAGACAGGCGCGGCGAGAGTGAGAGTGGCGGGTCCCGGGAGGTTAGATGGCGGCCCCGCCAAACGTGAGAGGGCGGACACGCCGAAAGTGAGAGGTCAAGGTGAGCAGTATGTGAGATGGGCGAGGAGTTGGTTGAGGGAGTGGACGGCTGCTGGCCACGAGCAAGGAGGGCGGTGAGATGCGAGGGGAGGCGCGGTGAGATGCGAGGGGAGGCGCGGTGAGATGCGAGGGGAGGCGCGGCGAAGTGTGAGCGCGAGGGAAGGCGCGGAGAGGCGTGAGGGGAGGCGCGGGAGGGGAGGCGCGGCGAGGTGTGAGGGGAGGCGTGCGAGGGGAGGGCGGCGAGGTGTGAGAGGAGGCGCGGCGGGGAATGAGGGGAGGCGCAGCGAGGTGTGAAGGCAGCCACGTTACCCTCTTCGCTCTCCTTGGGTATGCTACTTAGCGAGTATTTGGTGAGGTGAGTAGAGGAGGTTCGCCTTCCCAAATTTGATTGATCCACCACCCCCATGATAATTCTCCTGTGCTTGCTGGTTTCAGGTTTCTGAGTTTCGGCGACCTACTTCTCATGGCTTTTGTTTCTACTGGACTCGAAATGTATACGCTCGCTTCAAATGCGTCGAGAGCAGAACCTTACCTCTGAGAGGGTTCGGCGCATTCGCAAAGTGGTAGCGTCACCGTCACCGCTACAGCTAGAGTAAACATGGCAGCATATATCAGCGAGAAACGCGCCATGCGATAAGTCTCTACGGCACTGGTTACGCAGATCCTGTTAGGTCCAGACGTTGATGGAGATTACTCGCAGGAAGCTAGGAAGCTGGCTTGACTTCTAAACACAACTGATCGAATTGCAGAAATGGGCTATCGCTGGGAAGGTGAGAGTTTGTCCGAAGAGATGGACGGAGGAGGTGGGGGGGAATCGAAAATGCCGCATGAAGTGAGTGCAGTGTCGGCCAACCCAGCTGCTACCCAGATGTAACGAACTCAACCAGGCCTAACCGCCTTTCCTCCAGCATGCGTCACTCAACAGGGAGCAGGGGGTGCGGCTCCGGGTTGGGCGGGTGTCTGGAATGCGTTTCGAGCAACGATTTTTGGGCAACGGGCAGTCGTCGAGCAATCGCCTAGGCACGTCCATTTGTGCGGCACTTCATTCACCCCTTGGAATTGTTTTTCCGTCAGACCGCAGAAGGCACGAAACGAGGATATAGAGAACTGTCCAAACCCCCGTAAATAACTCGATACAAGGATGTCCGAGTAGAATACAAGCACAGTTTTTCCATTCCTCAAACAGCAAATCGCAATACAAAAGGTCAGAGCAAGCACAGCATAGAATATAACCAGCCCTAGCTTAGTGTTAAGGTCATCTTAATGTCAATGGATGGGAAGTAGTAATACACATGGTGCAAGAGAACACCACCAGGAGATGGGTAGATTATGTGCTGCAAAATTCTCACTACCTAGCTGAACTTTTCCTGCATCCCAAACCTCCAAAGCAGCCATCCCAATGTGCACACAGCACATGCTAGCACAGAGAAATGGTGGTCAAAGCAGTGCTATCTTGCAATCTTGGCTTCCAGCTGCACAATCGATTGCAAATTAAGACGATATAAATCTGGAAAGAACGATCAGGCGCATCAACCAAGTTCCTCACCTTCTTGAGACGGGCAGCCATATCATCCATCGCCTCTTCAAGATACTTCAAATCCTTCTCATCGTTTCCCTCACTGGACTGACTAGAGAGGTGTTTCTCCACCACAGCAGGCAGCAGCTTTGGAATGTCACTCATGTCTTCAATGGTGGGTAGCTCAGACGCCCAACCCATGCCCTCACTGGAAAGAAGGCCATGCAACCCCTCAATGCACGCAGCAAGCATTTGGCTTCCCTGCGGAACATCAAAAGAGTTAACATACAAGCAGGAAGCATAAACACCAAGGTGGTTTTTTAAGAAACGCACCTTCATGCGATTGGATCCTGAAGTTTTTTCGCCGATTGGATCGCCAACGTCCTTCAGAACCTCACCTGCATGGACAGCAAAGAGGGTTACCAAACGAACTGCAAGGCTGCTGCCCATCCTGCAAGCTCTATGTTGACAAACCTCCACCAGGAAGCCTTTGAATGGCCAGGGTGAGGGTCTGAATGTGCTGCCTCAGCAACTCGCACTCCAGCTCTGATTCCTGCAAGCGCCGCTGGAGTTCCCCATGCCCCACCTCTCTATTGGCGACAGGCTTATTCTTGATTTGCTTTGCCCTGGCATTGGGTGCACGTGAGAGCCAGTCAAGCAAGCCGGCATGCAAAATCAAGTGGTCTGAAACTGCTACCTTAAGCCGAAGCGGACAGTAGATACGGATTCTGCATAGTTGTAAGTGGAAGGGGAGCAGCAGCAGAGTAAAGTTGTACGTGAATTTCCACCCTGCATTGACAAATGAAGTGTTTTATTATGCTTCAGCCGTTGCCTCCACTTAAGCGGCAACTCACATGCAGCTCGACTCACCAGCGATTCTTGCAAAATCCGAGTGAGCTTGGAGTCACGGTAGGGGATGTGCGACGCCTTATCTGCAGCGTTTCTCAACCTCAGTTTCACAGCACACGACAGGAATCAGGATAAGAAGAATGAAACCCCACCGGATGTGAGGGCATTAATGACATTCCCCAAGGCAGAGAGTGATTTGTTGATCATCTTGGCCTCATCAAGCAGTCGTCCTTCCGCCCCTGTCTTTTCAACCTTCTCCGAGCCAGCCAAATCCACAAGGTAGATCTTCCCAACTTGCGAGCTGCCAAAGACATTTGCTGATGAGCACAAATGGACGGCCAGCAGAAGTAAAAAAAGAAGTTCTTACTACCACACCTGCTCCCATCTGCAGAGGTTCGCTGGATTGTCAGAAGAAACATGCAGTGGCTGCGGCTGCTACCCTGATTCATGTCTGCAAAGAAAACGGTAACTTGAGGATCAAAATCTTGCAAGCAACACCAAGCAATAAGGACCACAGGATGACATAAGACACTTACTGGTAGCCCCAACAGCCCGATTCTTGATTGCAGCCTGAAAGAAAAGAGTCAGTAAACTTATGTGGGCATCCAACGAACGAATGCAGAAAGTCAGAGAACAGCGTACCTCAAGAAGCTGAAGCATTTCCTTCTCGCCCTCAACATATATCTGCAGAATGCACCGAACACATGCATGAACGTGTGAAACTACTGCACGCACAGCAATGAGCACAACAGGAGAGTCACCACCATACTAGGCAGGCTCACCTCGGTGACGCCGGCAATGGAGATCCCTCGGGTTTGGTCCTCCTTCACCACCAGGTTGTCCTTTGACACATCGTAGAGGTCCCTGCTCGAATTGCAACACATCAAGGATGCTAAAAACAGAAATGCTTCCGTGGCAGAAACAAAAATACGCAAGAGGAGGGTCAGACTCAACGTGCTTCGACCTGTTGATTTGCACAAGGAGTTTACCTAATCCGCTCCATGTAAATCTCAACCTGCCGAAATCTTGCCGTCAGCGTGTGTCAGGCCTGAGACCAAAATCGACAATTACTCTGAACTTGAAGCTTTACCACAGAGAGAGCGACTTTGTATTCGCTGGGGGCGTCCGACGCATTGATGCGGACGAAGATCTCCTTGGCGACGCGCGGGAGAATGCCGGAACTCTCGGGGTCGTCGATGAGCATGTTGGGCCCCTGCGCACACACAGATTGCCGTCAGGCTCGGCGCGCAAAGCAGCGGGGTGATGCGGCGAGCGAGGCGGTGCTCACCTCCATCGTGTGCGTCTTGCCCGCTCCGGTCTGCGAGGACGGTGGCGAGTTAGTACGACGAGCCATGAATCGATGAGCTGAATCGGCCATACCTGACCATACGCGAGCACTGTGCCGTTGATTGCCGAAAGAGCATCTGCAGGTCACCAAGCGACAGTTCTTTTAGCGGGGATAAGTCAAGCGGCGTCGTGCGATCGTGGCGATTCATCGTACCCTGCACGACGGGCAGCGCGACGTAGCTGAAGACTTCCTGCTGCGACGAGTCCTGGTAGAAGGTCCGGTCGAACGTGAACAGCGTCTTCTCCTCCTTCTCATCCTGGAATTCGCGCTGCGTTAGACGCTTCCCGTAGCAGGCACGAACAAACAAACAAAACGATGTGACGGCCAGCGTGCCTTCAAGTAGAAGGATTGGTCGCAGTTCTTCTCGACGCAGATCAACCCGCCTTCGTGCAGCTCGATCTTGTTCTGCTCACCCCCACAAAGCACATTAGTCGCTTCAACAGGCGCCGTGCCTCAACGGGCTCATTCGCTTCGCACTCACCTGGGGCCGGAACCTGACGCATACGGTGACGTGTGCCATGGTCGCTGTAGGAGTTGACGCGTTGGAGCACTGCGACTTGCTTGGAGGAAAGCAGGTGAAGGCAAGCTAGATTTGCAAGGTTAGCAAGGTGCTTTGATGAATGTCGGGAGTTTTTGCATGCTTGAAATTCCATCTTCGTTCATTCCTTTGGGTGTGTGCGCGGGAACCTGGTTACCATGATGACCGAACATGTCGCGAACACGCACGACAGCGGTGGAGAACGGGATACCACGATCGCAATCGCAAGGACGAAGGCAAAAATGCCGATCAGATCGGCAACCAGTTGAGAGGCCCCGCAATTCATTTTGATTGGTTGCAAATACCTTGGGACAAACCCAGAAGGCCTAGATATTTGTTTTGTTGCTCCGACGAACTGGCGTAAATATCTCTCTCCGCTTTAGTAGGACGGAAGTTTCATTGTGCGCTAGTGAGAAGGCTCACGTACGTTGGTGTGCTCGTGAGGTCGTTACGCCATGCATCCAGTTGTAGGCTGAGCGCGCCAGCGTGCCGCGAACACACACTGACTCCCACCGCTCCCATCACAGCTATGACAGTATTCCGCGAGCCCGAGTCGCCTGCATCTGCGGCATCGGCGTCGCCGCGGGCGCAGAGGAAGCACCTGCTGCCTCGCCCCGTGCTCGACGCCGTCGCCGGCGCCGTGTCGGGCGGGGTGGCGCGTCTCGTGGTGTCGCCACTCGACGTCATCAAGATCCGATTTCAGGTGCCTCCCGCGCCATGCCTCGCACCCTCTCGTCGCTTCGTCTTCGCAGCTGCTTCGGATCGTTCTCATGCCTTCACGCTGCATAGTGCCTCCCCGCGATCCGTTTTTCACCGATAGCTGCAACGCAGCTGCCGTGTCTGTGAAGCTCAGCTCGCCTCGCCATGACTCCTCTCCGCGATTACCCGAACGGGCGCGCACTTATCTCTCACGCCGCTGCCGCGCTCACCCCGCCGTCCTCGCGATCCCCGCAGGTGCAGCTGGAGCCCATCCACGCGCCGCATGCCGCCGCCGCCGCCACCTCCGCAGCTGGGCGCGCGGCGGCGACGGCGGCGGCGGGCGCGGTGCGGGCGTCGCGGTCCAAGTACACGGGGCTGCTGCAGGCCGCGCGGGAGATCCTCCGCGAGGAAGGCGTGCAGGTGTTCGCGCGGGGCTGGTGGGCGCGCGGGGCTGGGCGGGGAGGGGGGATGTCGGAGGGGCATGGAGAAGGGCCGAGGCGAGAGAGTGGAATGAGGGAGGCGATGGCTTTCTGAGCTGGGGTTGAGGGTTCTGGCTGTGGGGTTGCCATAGGCGGAATGGCTGGTCGCAATGCGGTGGGGCCGGGAGACAGGCAGTGGGAGGAACGGGTAGAGGCTCGGGAGGGATGGACTTTTGAGTCGACTCAAAAGGCAGTGGGAGGAACGGGTAGAGGCTCGGGAGGGATGGACTTTTGAGTCGACTCAAAAGACAGTGGGAGGAACGGGTAGAGGCTCGGGAGGGATGGACTTTTGAGTCGACTCAAAAGGCAGTGGGAGGAACGGGTAGAGGCTCGGGAGGGATGGATGCATGAAGGGTGGAGCGGGATGGCGGAAGGTGATAAGGAGGGGGGGGCGGTGGGAAAGGAGGGAGGGAGGTAGGGAGAGGAGGCGGGAATGGGGAGGGAGGGGATTTTGGTTGAGGAAGGCGGTTGGGAAGTGATAAAATGGGTGGGGAAGGGGGAGAGGAGGAGTGAGGGAGGGTGCCTGGGGAGGGTGGGCGGAGGAACAAAGGTGTTCCCGAACTTACCGCATGTGCTGAATGGGCTGGAAGCTGCTGTCAGCAAGAGTGAGGGCTAGAGGCGCATCTTTGCAGGCAGAGAGAAGCGGCCTGGCAGATGGCGGGCCGTGCACACCGACCATGCTCAGTCAACCGTCCCCTTGCCATGCCTCGTCTCACCTTCCCTCATCCCAGCCTTGTTCACCCACGTCCCTCCGCGCCTCCACTTTTCTCCTCTCCCTCGCCCAGAGCCCACCTCGCCCTGCCTCCCCCTCCCCTATCTCCCTCGTTTCCCCAACCCTCCCAACACGTTTTCCCCCGTTCCTCTCTCTCCCCCGAGAGCAGGGCTTCTGGCGGGGCACGGTGCCGGGGCTGCTGTTGGTGATGCCCTACACCGCCATCCAGTTCGTCGTCATCCACCGCTTCAAATCGCTCATGACCGGCTCACACCGCACAGGTGAGCGCACAGGGCAGGTGGCAAGCGAACAGGGGAGGCGAGGTGGAGGGCGGGCTGTGCGGCGGGTGAGGAGGCGAGTGAGAGAAAGGTGGGGTAGCGCAGTGAGGACGCCAAACATGCGCTGTGTAGCGCAGTGAGGACGTCAAACAAGCACTGTGTAGCGCAGTGAGGACGTCAAACAAGCGCTGTGTAGCGCAGTGAGGACGTCAAACAAGCGATGTGGCCCCCCTTCCCCTTCCCATGCCCACGCTCTCCATGACTGTCAGGGAAACTGACATCTCCAGTCTCATACTCTCCCTTTGTCATCCCCTCATGCCTCACAACCTTCCCCTCCCCCTATCTCTCCTTCCCCCTTTTTCAAGACCCCGGGAAGCTGCAGCTGTCGTTGGTAAGGATATCCCTTCACGCCCGCCCTTCAATTCCCCGCTCATACACCAGCGATACCCCCTTCCCCCTTTCTCCTTCCTACCCCTCGCTTCCCGCCCCTGGCAGATGACCACAAGCAGCTGCGGCCGGAGCTGTCATTCGTGGGGCCGTACCGCTGCTCCCCTTCATCCCCGTCGTCCACGTCTCCCTCCATATGCCTCGTGTGCCCCCGTGTGCCCCCGTGTGCCCCCTGGCAGAGGACCACAAGCAGCTGCGACCGGAGCTGTCATTCGTGGGCGGGTCGGTGGCGGGCATGGCGGCCACGGTGGGGTCGTACCCCTTCGACCTGCTGCGCACCGTGCTCGCCTCACAAGGCGAACCCAAGGTGCGTGCATCACACGAGGCACAGCATGGCATCACACGAGGCACAGCATGGCATCACACGAGGCACAGCATGGCATCACACGAGGCACAGCATGGCATTTGAGTCGACTCAAAAGTCAACGCGCAGAGCTCTCCGTTAATGAGGCATGGCGGCCACGGTAGGGTGGGGTCGTACCCCTTCGACCTGCTGCGCACCGTGCTGGCTTCCCAGGGCGAACCCAAGGTGAGGGACGAGGCATGAGTGCTGGCATCAGTGCGGCATATGGGTGCGGCATATGGGTGCGGCATATGGGTGCGGCATATGGGTGCGGCATATGGGTGTGGCATATGAGTGCGGCATATGGGTGCGGTATATGAGTGCGGCATATGAGTGCGGCATATGGGTGCGGCATATGAGTGCGGCATATGAGTGCAGCATATGAGTGCGGAATATGAGTGTGGCATATGAGTGCAGCATATGAGTGCGGCATATGAGTGCGGCATATGAGTGCGGCATATGAGTGCGGCATATGAGTGCGGCATATGAGTGTGGCATATGAGTGCGGCATATGAGTGCGGCATATGAGTGCGGCATATGAGTGCGGCATATGAGTGCGGCATATGAGTGCGGCATATGAGTGCGGCATATGAGTGCGGCATATGAGTGCGGCATATGAGTGCGGCATATGAGTGCGGCATATGAGTGCGGCATATGAGTGCGGCATATGAGTGCGGCATATGAGTGCGGCATATGAGTGCGGCATATGAGTGGGGCATATGAGTGTGGCATATGAGTGCGGCATATGAGTGCGGCATATGAGTGCGGCATATGAGTGCGGCATATGAGTGCGGCATATGAGTGCGGCATATGAGTGCGGCATATGAGTGCGGCATATGAGTGCGGCATATGAGTGTGGCATATGAGTGTGGCATATGAGTGCGGCATATGAGTGCGGCTTATGAGTGCGGCATATGAGTGCGGCATATGAGTGCGGCATATGAGTGCGGCATATGAGTGTGGCATATGAGTGCGGCATATGAGTGTGGCATATGAGTGCGGCATATGAGTGCGGCATATGAGTGTGGCATATGAGTGCGGCATATGAGTGCGGCATATGAGTGCGGCATATGAGTGCGGCATATGAGTGCGGCATATGAGTGCGGCATATGAGTGTGGCATATGAGTGTGGCATATGAGTGCGGCATATGAGTGCGGCATATGAGTGCGGCATATGAGTGCGGCATATGAGTGTGGCATATGAGTGCGGCATCTGAGTGCGGCATATGAGTGCGGCATATGAGTGCGGCATGAGGCCTGATGCAGGGCGAACCCAAGGTGAGGGACGAGGCATGAGGCAGGGCTGTACGGCAACGCGTGTCAACTTGCCAAGGGTGTGGCGGGGAGAAGGCATGAGGGCAGTCAATCATGGCAGCCGCTTCTCCCTTGCACTCTGGCAGGTTCACTTTCCAGTGCTCTTTCTCTCCTCTTTCTCTCGCTGCCACCCCTTCTCACTCAACCCCTTCTCACTCAACCCCTTCTCACTCAACCCCTTCTCACTCAACCCTGCTCACCCCAACCCCTTGCAACGCGCGTGCACAGGTGTATGCGGGCATGAGGGCGGCGTGCATGGGGATAGTGAGGGAGCGCGGGGTGAGGGGGCTGTTTGCAGGGCTGCCGCCCACCATGGTGGAGATCATCCCCTACGCCGGCCTGCAGTTCGGCCTCTACGATGCCTTCAAGCGCCACCTCGCTGTACGTGCCCCTGCCTTACCCCACCCCACCCCACCCCACCCTGCGCCCCTCTGCCTTCTTCTCGCACCCCTTCCCCTATGCGCCCTTGTAGCAAAAATGCCCCACTCTGCTTTCTGGTGGCCGTGAGGCACCGGTAGCAGCACCGCGGAGGGGAGGCTCAGCGATCGCGCCTTCTCACTGATCTCGCCCTCATCCGTTGCGAAAGTGTTTGTCAGCGCCCAACCAACGGTGTTGGACTTGCTCTAACATTCACCGTCCACTTATCTTCCTATCATATCTCATGATACCTATATCATACAGTCTGTCATATCAGCCAGCTCACTTGTGTCCGTGGCATTGCTGCGCGCCCCCTCTCACTGTATGCAGCACTACAACTGGTCGCGCTCCAAGGCTCGCCACGACCGCCCCGTGTCGCTCGCCCACTCCCACCTGCCCTCCACAGCCCCGTCCACCGCGCCACTCTCCCCGCCGCTATCACCCTCACCATCATCATCACCATCACTCTCACCAGCAGCAGCCCCGCCAGCCGTGGCATCGGCAGTGGAGCGGGCGGCACGGCCTGCCGTGTCATCGGGGCAGCTGAGTGCATGGCAGCAGTTCATGTGTGGGCTGGCAGCGGGCACACTCGCTAAGGTCGCCTGCCACCCACTCGATGTCGTCAAAAAGCGATTCCAAGTGAGTGTGATGCCTTTCCTTGATCCTGCTGCTAAAAGGCGCCCCATGCCCTCCCATGCCCTCCCATGCCCTCCCATGCCCTCCCATGCCCTCCCATGCTCCCCCATGCCCTCCCATGCCCTCCCATGCCCTCCCATGCCCTCCCATGCCCTCCCATGCCCTCCCATGCTCCCCCATGCCCTCCCATGCCCTCCCATGCATTCCCATGCCCTCCCTTTCCCTCCCATGCCCTCCCATGCCCTCCCATGCCCTCCCATGCCCCCCCATGCCCTCCCATGCCCTCCCATGCCCTCCCATGCCCTCCCATGCCCCCCCATGCCCTCCCATGCCCTCCCATGCCCTCCCATGCCCTCCCATGCCCTCCCTTTCCCTCCCATGCCCTCCCACGCCCTCCCATGCCCTCCCATGCCCTCCCATGCCCTCCCATGCCCTCCCATGCCCTCCCATGCCTTTCCACGCCTTCCCATGCCTCCCCATGCCTTCTCATGCCTACAAATACCTTTTGACGCGTTCCCATGCCTTGCCGTCCTTGCCATACCCTCCCATGCTTTGCCTTGCCTTGCGATGCTATGTCATGGTATTTGACTCCATGGGATGCCATGTATGCCATACCACTCCATGAGATACCATGTATGCCATGCCACTCCATGGGATGCCATGTACCCGTATCCCATGCCACTCCATGTCCCATCCTCATCCACGCTGTGCCATCCTCCCATCCATGTAAAACGACTCTCGTCCCCTGAGCTACTAAGTCATGATGTTTTTTCGTATATCTTCTCCGTTTCGCCCACTCGGACCCCATCGATCCGGGCAGGTGGAGGGGCTGCGGCGCCATCCTCGGTACGGAGCACGCATCCAGCCGAGGGCGTACCGCGGCATGGTAGACGCGCTGCGCAAGATAGTGGCCACCGAGGGTGTGGAGGGGCTCTATAAAGGTGTGCTGCCTTCCGTTATCAAAGCCGCCCCATCTGCTGCAATCACCTTTTTTGTCTACGAGCTTGTCGCAAAGTTTCTCGAGGAAATGTCCTCAACAGACGTCTAATAAGCAAGCATTGTTATCGCTACGAATAGTAAATTGAGAAACACTGCATTCCTGTTAGTAGCAAAGCAAGTGAAGAGTGCAAAGACGATTACCGTCTATTCCCAGATAAAAGACCCGAGGGACTTACCAAAAATCCATTCAAAGTTGTTAGGGTGTGTTGGGCTGAACGCCCTAGGGTCTTTGGTAGAGTAAAAGTCTGAGTAAACGATGTAGTAGCGGAAGCGTTTTGAATAAATTCCTTGAACCACCTTGTGTCAGAACTTATAGCTTACTTGTTTCTGTAGGCTATAGTGGGGTATCCCATAGGGGGTACAACCCAATTAGGGTTTCCTATTTGTACTCACTTCGTTCATAGTCATTCCATTCTCGTTCTTTGTTTTCACATGGAATCAGAGCAGGTTCCCTCCTAGGGACTGCTTCTAGGGCCCACCGAACCGCGCCCCGAGGCGCGTTTTTTTTTTAGCGACCCGTCGTGTCGCCCCTAGCGGACCGTTGCGCCGCCCTTCCCCTCGCGGCTCCGCCGCCCTTCCCTAGCGGCCCCGCCGCCCTTCGATCGCGGCCCCGCCGCCCTCTGCTACGCGGCCCCGCCACCGCCCTTCGATCGCGGCCCCGCCGCCCTCTGCCTCGCGGCCCCACCGCCCTCTGCTACGCGGCCCCGCCGCCCTCTGCTACGCGGCCCCACCGCCCTCTGCTACGCGGCCCCGCCGCCCTTTGATCGCGGCCCCGCCGCCCTCTGCTACGCGGCCCCGCCGCCCTCTGCCACGCGGCCCCGCCGCCCTTCGATCGCGGCCCCGCCGCCCCCTGCTACGCGGCCCCGCCGCTCTTTCGGTAGCGGCCCCGCCGCCCTCTGCTACGCGGCCCCGCCGCCCTCTGCTACGCGGCCCCGCCGCTCTCTTCGGTCGCGGCCCCGCCGCCACTCTGCTACGCGGCCCCGCCGATCCGCCCAGCAGCAGCCGCCGCCGCCTGAGCCGCCGCCGAGCCGCCGCCGAGCCGCCGCCGAGCCGCCGCCGAGCCGCCGCTGAGCCGCCGCCGAGCCGCCGCCGAGCCGCCGCCCGAGCCGCCGCCGAGCCGCCCGTGCCGCCCGAGCCGCCGCCGAGCCGCCCGTGACGCCCGAGCCGCCCGCGCCGCCCAGCAGCAGCCGAGCCGCCGCCGAGCAGCCGCCGCCGGGCCGCCGCCGAGCCGCCGCCGAGCCGCCGCCGAGCCGCCCGTGCCGCCCGAGCCGCCCGCGCCGCCCGAGCCGCCTGCGGAGCCGTGCTGCTGTTCCTCTGCTGCTGACCTACCTGCCTCTCCCCGCCCGGTGAGATTTTCAGCTGCTGTCATGGCCACCCCCAATGTTCTTACCTTTGACGCTGAGGGGAGGGCCATTGACTTTGCCGTCTGGATTGAAGACCTGCAGCTGTACTTACTGTGTGATGCGATAGATGAGGTCTCTCTCTTTGACTTTGTCTCTGGCGCTGTCCCTGCCCCACCTGCTGATGCTGACTCTACCGTTCGCTCCAAGTGGGCGACCCGCGATGCTGCTGCACGTCTTGCTGTGCGTCGCCACCTCCCTTCCTCTGAGCGTGCCCACTTTAGTCAGTGCAAGACCGCTCAGGCCTTGTACGACGCTGTAGTTGCACGCTACTCCTCCCCTTCCTCCGCTACCCTTAGCCGCCTCATGCTACCGTTTCTCTTCCCTGACCTCGCTTCCTTTCACACTGTCGCTGACCTCGTTACCCACCTCCGTGCTAGTGACACCCGCTACCGCGCTGCCCTTCCTGCTGAGTTCCGCGCTGCGAACCCTCCTCCCATGTACATCACTCTCTACTTTCTCGTCACCCGTCTCCCTGAGTCCCTTCGTGTCGTTAGGGACCAGTTTCTCTCTGTCTGTCCAACCACTCTCACTGTCGACCTCCTTGAGGAGTCCCTGCTAGCGGCTGAGAAGAGTATTGTCGCTGTAGGGGCCTCTCGGGGTGACCCTCGCACCCCCATCTTTGAGGGGTGTGGTCCTTCCCCCCTGCTGCCCTCTGTCGCCTCTGCCGCTGCGGCCGACCTCACTGGTTTTGAGTCGGTCGGCGCGGCGTCTGCCCCCAGCGGCAGACGTCGCGCTGGCAAGGGCAAGGGGGGCAAGGGAGCGGGTGGAGCTAGAGGGGGCGGTGGAGGAGGCGGTGGGGGTGGCGGGGGGAGTAGGGGTGGCAGTGGGGGTGGTGGCGGGAGTGGAGGTACTGGTGGCGGCGGTGGAGGCGGAGGTGGCGGCGGAGGTGGTAGCGGAGGAGGCGGTGGGAGCGGTGGGAGCGACGGTCCTGGTGGGGGAGGTGGAGGTGGAGACGGGGGTGCCGGTGGAGGCGGGGGTGGCAGTGGAGGCGGGGGTCGGAGTGGCTCGTCTCAGCGGAGCAGCTCCGGGGGTGGTCAGCGCCAGCAGCAGCAGCAGCAGCAGCCGCACCAGCAGCCACAGCAGCAGCAGCGCTCTCGCACCGTCCCCGGCCCTCAGCAGCTCCGTGAGTGGTACTCGCAGCGTCAGCGTGGTGGTGCGCTTGGTCCTTGCCCCTACGTTCTCCGCACCGGTGACCGTGCAGGGGAGAGGTGTGGAGGCGCCCACACTGCCCGCCGCTGCTTTGGCCGCCTGACTGACGCTTGGCGTCAGCAGTTTCCGGAGGCAGCTGAGATCCCCCGCTGGGGAGAGCTGTCTAGGGCTGGTGTAGCTATTTATGATCTTGATTTTGATGCTATTCTCTCTGCTATGTATGGTGCGATTGGTAGTGATGAGGATGACTGTTACCGGTGTTTCCCGCCCGACCCGGGCATTGGTACTGCCGCGTCAGGTACTAGTGAGGCTGCTGCTCTAGGTGCCAGTGCGTCTGTGCTCTCAGGTGCTGGTGAGTCTGCCCTCTCAGGTACTGTGTCGGCTTCGGCCTCTCACACCTTCACCCTTGACTCTGGAGCGTCTCGCTCCTTCTTTCGGGACCACACCACTCTCACGCCGCTGAGTCGGCCGGTTGCGGTGTCCCTGGCTGACCCCTCTGGGGGGCCTGTCCTGTCTCGCTTCTCCACTGTCCTCCCGTGTCCGGCGGCCCCCTCTGGCACCCTGACTGGTCTTTACCTCCCCTCGTTCTCGACGAACTTGGTGAGTGGTGCTGACCTCCAGGATGCGGGTGTCCACCAGTTCACCCCTGCTCGTCAGCGGGTGACCCACTGCACGGAGGCGGATACAGGTCGCCACCTGGCTACGTTTACACGTCGGCCAGGGTCGAGCCTGTACACTCTGACCACTGCTTCTCCTCCAGGTGCTGAGTCTGGTAGGGTCACTTCGTCTGGTCAGGTGTTTGCTGCAGCGTCCAGGTCTGGTCCTGAGTCTGCCCCCTGCTCGTGCCGTCGTCTGTCTCACGAGACCCTCCTCTGGCACCACCGCCTTGGCCACCCCTCTCTGCTTCGGCTCAGAGGCATGGCCTCGCGAGTCCTTGTGTCTGGTCTTCCCCGGTCTCTCCCTCCCCTCCCTCCGGGCCCTGGCCCCACCTGTGTCCCCTGTGTCGAGGGGCGCCAGCGTGCTGCCCCTCACTCCTCCCAGTTTCCTCCGACAGAGGCCCCGTTGCAGACGCTTCACATGGATGTGTGGGGCCCAGCCCGCGTCCGTGGACAGGGTCAGGAGCGCTACTTCCTGCTGGTGGTTGACGACTACTCGCGTTACACCACAGTCTTCCCCTTGCGCAGCAAGGGTGAGGTCACTGCGGTGTTGATCGACTGGATCCGCGCAGCTCGTCTCCAGCTTCGGAAGAGCTTTAGCTCTGACTTCCCTGTTTTGCGTCTGCACTCGGACAGAGGCGGAGAGTTCTCCTCTGGCCTCCTGAGTGCCTACTGTCGTGCGCGAGGCATCCGTCAGACCTTCACGCTTCCGGACTCACCGCAGCAGAATGGGATTGCTGAGCGCCGCATTGGCATGGTCATGGACGTAGCTCGTACGTCCATGATGCATGCGGCTGCTCCCCATTTTCTGTGGCCGTTTGCGGTCAGGTACGCTGCGCACCAGATCAACCTCCACCCCAGGGTCTCTCGACCGGAGACCTCCCCAGCTCTGCTGTGGACTGGGAAGGTTGGCGATGCGTCGGCGTTCCGAGTCTGGGGATCTCGGGCGTTTGTTCGCGACCTGTCTGCGGACAAGCTGTCCCCTCGTGCTTCTCCCTGCGTCTTCCTGGGGTTCCCCCCCGACGCCCCTGGGTGGCAGTTTTACCACCCCACCTCTCGACGTGTTCTGTCCTCCCAGGACGTCATGTTCGACGAGTCGGTACCCTACTACCGCCTCTTCCCCTACCGCACTCCGTCCCTCCCCCCACCCCCGCTCTTCTTGGTACCAGGTCCCCCCCCGGTAGTCCCCCTCCCCCCTCAGGGTCCTGCCCCTTCAGGTGTGTCCCAGGTAGACGCGGTCGAGCCTGTCGAGGTCACTGGTGACTCTGGTGCTGCTGCGGGAGCTGTGCCTGGAGGTGCCGAGTCTGGGGGTGCTGAGCCTGGAGGTGCTGTGCCTGGGGGTGCTGAGCCTGGAGGTGCCGAGTCTGGGGGTGCTGTGCCTGGGGGTGCTGTGCCTGGGGGTGCTGAGCCTGGGGGTGCTGAGCCTGGGGGTGCTGTGTCTAGGGGTGCTGAGCCTGGAGGTGCTGTGCCTGGGGGTGCTTCGTCTCGCCGGGAGCCACTCTCCCCACAGGAGCTGCGTGAGTGGTTTGCCGGGCGCTGGAGGCGTGCTGCTGGTGCAGAGGGTACTGCTGCTGCGCGCCCCGCCGGCGCTCGCACTGTGGGTGCTGGAGCTGCTGAGTCTGAGCGTTCTCCTGGAGCTGGTCCTGCTGAGGGTGTTGGCGCTGAGCCTGCCGTTGGCGGCACGACTGACAGTGCTCCTGGTGCTGCGGCTGGAGGTTCTGGAGCTTCTGGTGGTGCTGCTGGAGGTGCTGCTGGAGAAGGTGTTCCTGCCGGGGCTGTTGGTGCTGTTCCTGCTGTTTCTAGCGTCGCCGCGCGGCCCCGACCGTACTTTGTTCCGCTCC